CCAAATTCCTGGGCATCTTTTGGCTTAGTCAAATTGATACTTAAAATTAACCATCACACAAGAATATTTCTCAAAGAGGACATATACAGTTAAATATGAGAAACTCCATTTCATGGTGTTTTGTTTACTTACAATATCAGATAAATGAGCAATATGAATATACATCAATTTTCTATAGTAAGTATCTATGCACAAAATTTCAGTCATTGGTTACAGTTTTATAATTTTCCTCACATTATATTTGTTTTCATCATAGTATAATTTAGGCATGTGATATTTGATAATTTGTTTATGCATATTTTATGTCTTTAAAAAATCTCAACTTTAAAAAAATAACCATCATGGCACATTAACTATAGGCTTTTAAATTCCCAGTCTGATAATTCTACATCCCTGTCATATTTGAGTCTGGTTTTTATATTTACTCTGCTTTTTAAGCTATGTTTTTTATCTTTTAGTATGCCTTGTAAAATTTTATTCATAGTCAGACATCATGAACTGGGCAAAAGAAACTGCTGTAAATAGGTCTTAGTAATATGGTGGTAGGGTATGAATGAGAGAAGAGAAGTATTGTATAGTCCTATGATTAGATTTCACACTTTCAATGAGCCTGCTTCTGAACTAAGCAGTTCACAAGTGTTTCTTAGGGTTTTTTTCCCTTCCTCTATATTGGACAGAATGTCTAGAGTTATCTGGGGTTGGATATTTACATCCCCCACATGGGAGTTTACAGGGTATTGGAGTAGGACATTTTCTCTCCCTTTTATCAACGCCCTCCCTGGTTAGGTTCTGATAACATGCCAATTGTTTAGGGTCTGAGCGAATAGCTTCTCTTGAGAGAAAGCCTTATTAAGAAGAACAGAATGGCCGAATGTGGTGGCGCATGCCTGTAATACCAATTACTCAGGAGGCTGAGATGAGGGGATTACAAGTTCAAAATCAGTCTGGACAACTTATTGAGACACTGTCTCAAAAAAGAAAAGAATGTAGCACAGTGGTATAGCACCCGTGGGTTCAATCCCCAGTACCACAAACAAAACATACAAAAAGAACTGCTATGCTATATTTCCAAATGATTCCTGTTACCACCCACTCCCGCTTCCGCTTGCCAGAAGCACAAGGAGATTTTTCTCTGATATTCACAAAAAGAACCTGATTGCACTCTTATAGGTAAAACTCAGAAAAGGGTGGGGCCTCTTCCCAAGACTGGGCCCACTTGAGTTTTTTTTTTTTTTTAATATTTTAACTTGTAGATGGACACAATGCCTTTATTTTATTTATTTATTTGTTTTTATGTTGTGCTGAGAATTGAACCCAGTGCCCTATACGTGCCAGACAAGTGCTATACCACTGAGCCCAGCCCCAGCCCCCTGCTTGAGTTTTTTAACTCTCAGATTGACACTCCATTCTAGGCCTCCTGCAAAAAATCAATTAAAATTCTATTTTTCCCCCCACTGTCCTGATTCCCATGAAGGTTTCTGCTCATGAATTTCTGTTTCAGTAAGTGATGATTCTTTGTCTTGGCTTGTCTGTGCCTCCAATTTTGGGGGCAACGGTTTGCCCTCTCTAACCTGACTTCTCCAATGGACCTAAGAAGAGTCACTGATTTTTCAATTTGTTCAGCTGTTTATTTGTTTTATGGATGGAGTGATAACTTCCAGGCTCCTTACATGCTAGACTGTCTCTTATTTATTTTTATTATTTCTGCATCAATCTTGCTCTGAGACATGTTTTTCTTGATTAAATCATATTAATTTATCCCCCAATTTAATATATTCTGCTTCTGTCAATGGTACATAATGTACAAAATATCCTCAAAAGACTTGGCCACATAGAATCTCTTACAAGTACTTGTCCCACATACATTTCTGAGTCTAGAGATTTCTCTAGCCTAATATATTCCATCTTGAGCAATGCTATTCCTGAAATCTGTTACCAAACTTATCTAACTGACTTGATTTTCTCTATATCAGTGCTTGGAGGATGACTCTGGGTGCCCTTCAGACATTTATACCTCTGTGACCCATAAAAGGATGTTCAAACCTTACCACCACAGTGGGTAATCAGATTGAATTGATATCTAGAAGAATATGGGGCAGAGTTATATGGAGTTTCCTATAAGTGAAAAATTGGGTTTCTTTCCTTTTATTTTTATTTTTTTGAAAAATTGGGTTTCTTTGTGTTTTATCTTAAAAATTAATTTTTGTTTTATATTGTTTTCCATAATATATCAGTGATTATCACATAAAATAATATTTCTAATGACTCCCAGTGCAGGGTCCTGTGACCTGTCCTGATCATTAAAGAACAAATCTTTTATATCAGATAATATGTAACTATGCCTGTATTTGACAAAGATTCAAAATAGCAACTTAAATAAGACAAATAAGCTTTTTTTTTGTCATGTTCAAGATCTAAGCTGATATGGAAGGATGGCTCTGTGAAGTCTGTTTGGAACCCAGGTTTCTTCTGGCTTGTTACTCCATAATCCTTAAGTGATAGTCTATATCCACATCATTCTGAAGATTGGGGATCAATGCAGAGGCTATTGCAGTGATCCACATGATGGTATCTTGACCTAGAAAAGGTAAAAATGGAGAAATATAAATAGATCCAAAGAATGTTTATGAGAAAAATAGGCATAATGATGATTGGTTATGGGGGTTGGAGAAGTGAAAGATAGAAAGTTATAAAGGATGTGTCTTGCTAGGCAAGGGTAGATGGTAATAATTGCCATAAAGATTGGGAAATCTGGAAAAGGAACAGAATTGAAGAAAAGCATCATAAATTAGATTTTGAATGTTGAGATAATGCTAGGTAGTCATTAAGAACATGGAATCTGAAATCCAATTGACTAGAGTTGAGTTGTGGTCCCCAAAACTAACTGTGGTGTTAGTCAACTTTCTACTATTATAATAAATACCTGAGATCTTTAATTAACTTATATAGAGAAACTGTTTTTAAAGAGAAAAGGCTCATGGTTTAGGAGGTTCTAGTTCATAATCAGGTGGACCCATTACTTTTAAGCTTCTGATAGGGATGCCAGATGACAATGGCAAGGAGCTTGTGGTGGAGCAGAATTATTCAAATCATGGCCAGGAAGCAAAAGAAAATGGAGAAGAGGCCAGGGTCCCTCAATCTCCTTTGGAGCATGTTTTTATTGACCTAAAGATCTCCCACTATGCCTTATCTCTTAAAGATTTCACCTCCCAGCATTGGGGACCAATCTTTGAACATATTGACTTTTGAGGGACATTTAAGACCTTAACTATAGCAACTACATAATATGGAATTGGGTCGTTAACTACCCTCTGTGCCTCAGTTTCCTTATTTATAAAAGGTAGATAATAATGCATCATGTAATTGCTCTGAGGATTGAGCCACCTAGTATGTCTAGTGCTTAGAATAACACCAGGGTCAGCATAAGTTTTCAATAATTGGTAGTTGTGGTATCAAATCTGAAATATCTTTGAGACTTTAGTGGTATTATCAAGTAGGCAGTTGGGTATATATGAAGTTTGAAGTTGAGAGGAGCCACCAGGGATGCAGACACCATTTGCAAGTGTACAGAAAAGAGTTAACAAAGCAAGTCTGACTGCTATGCTTTGAAAGCTTTATTGCAAGGCTGGTCCTTGGCTGGCATCTGTGAACTTGGATTTCAAATGGTTTTCAGCCACTCTTATCAGTTCTCACTCTTATCAGTTCCCAGAACTGTGCTTAAACTGTTTGTATAAACAATGTGGTTTATGCTGAATACTTGTTTTCCTTCTGGGAGTCTGGAATTTGGGTACAGACTAGACAGAGTGTGTCTCCGTGACTAGTGCTCAATAAAAATCCTGGATTCTAAGTCTATAAAGAGCTTCCCTGGTAGTTAAGAATTCATATATATATTTTCATACTTTGTTGCTAGAGGAATTAAGCATGTCCTATGACTTCAGTGGTAGAGGAATCTTGAAAGATTGTGCTCAATTTCTTCTAAATTTTACTCCATACACTATTTTCCTTTCCTGATTTTGTTTGTATCCTTTGTAACATAAGACATAATTATGACCATATGTTAATTCATGTGCTTCCTCTTAGTGAATTACTGAATTTGCAGATGTTTTAGCAATATTCACCACAGTGAACTCATAGTAATAGGTGGTGATTGAAGTCATCAACAGGAATGAAATTCCCAAGAATGAGGCTGAAATGGTGGCTAGCAAAGAGCCTTGGCGAGCCACATTTAGTTGCCAAGTTGAGGAAGATGATTGATCTCATGAAGATAAGAAGAGTCAGAGAAATAGTTGAATAGTTCTTTTTGTGTCTTAGAAACCAAAAGAAGAGGAGGAGGTGGCAAGAAGGAGGGATTGGTCAATAGTGTCAAATGATACTAAATAATTTTTTTTGGTGTTGAATTTTTTGAGTTCTTTATATTCTGGACATTAATTCTCTGCTGGAAGAATAACTGGCAACAATTTTCTCACGTTTTGTAGGCTCTCTCTTCATGATGTTAATTGTTTCCATTTCTGTGCAACAGATTTTTAATTTGATATTATTCCATTTATTGATTCTTGGTATTATTTCCTGAGCCATAAGAGTTCTATTAAGGAAGCTGATGTATTTTTATATGTTGGAGTATTTTTTCTTATGTTTTCTTATAGTAGTTGTAAAGTTTCTGGTCTTATTCCTAAGTCTTTAGTCCATTTTGAGTTAACTTTTGTGCAAGGGTAAGAGATAGGAATCTAGTTTCAATCTTCTACATACAGATATCCAGTTTTCCCACCATCATTTGTTGAAGAGACTATTTTTTTCTTCAACATATGTTTTTGGTGTCCTTGTCAAAAATCAGATGACTATGCTGTATGGGTTTGTCTGCATTTTCTATGCTGTTGCATTGGTCTACTTGTCTATTTTTATGCCAGTACCATGTTGGTTTTGATACTATGGCTCTGTAACATAATTTGAAATTGGGTATTGTGGTGCCTCTAGCTTTGTTCTTTTGCTCATGGTTGTTTCAGCTATTCTGAGTCTTGTGGAGAAATGAATTAAACAGACACCATCAAAAGAAGAAATACAAATTGCCAACAGATATATGAAAAACTTTTCAAAGTCTTTATCCATAAGGGAAATGCAAATGAAAACATTCTGAATGTCTACAGTCAGAATGGCAATTAACAAATGTAAGTAACAATAAATGCTGACAAAGGAACTGTTATACACTGTTGTTCAGAATATAAAATTAGTATAGCCACTATGGAAATCAGTATGGAGGTTCCATGAAAAACTGAAAATGTAACTACCTTATGACCCAGTTATACCACTCCTTGGTATTTATCCAAAAGAAGTGGAGTGCTTTAGAGACATACACATTCCCATGTTTATAGCAGCATGAGTCACTATAGCCAAATTATGGAACCAGCCATCAATAGATGAATGGATAAAGAAAATATGATATACAACACACACACACACACACACACACACACACACACACGCACGCACACACGCACACCACAGTGAAGTATTATCCATCCATAAAGAAGAATGAAATTATGTAATATGCAGGAAAATGGATGGAACTGGAGAGCATCATGTTATATTGTGTTAAACAAAATAAGTCAGGCTTGGAAAGACAAATGTAATATGTTTTCTATTACATGAGGCAGCTAAAGAGAAGAAAGGCAGAAAAAGTATCTTATGAAAATAGAAGAAGGTAGAGGAAGGGGGTTTGGGGAGGGAGAAGAGGATGGAAAGGGGAAGTACTGGGGTGTGAAATTGATCAAATAATTGTTTTGTGCATATATGTATAGGCTATAATGAAACCCACTATTCTTTTTTAAATATATATAATTTTATTACAAATATTTTTTAAAAAAACACAAGATGAAACATCCTGAAAAACTGAAACCTGCTGTTCTGTATAATTAATATGCACCAATAATTTTTAAAGAACAAATAAAACTAAAGAATCAAATAAGACAAGGACTTAGAAGTATTTTTTGGATTCAACAACATGGAAGGCATTAGTGACCTCATCAAAGCCTATTTTGGTCAAGTGCTAAATGCAGGTCAATGTGGATTGGGTGGCAGGTTAATGAGTGGAAAAGAAATGTTTTATTGTTTTGGTGCCTTCAAGTTGGCTTTGGGACTCAGAAAAGCTTATGCAGATTAATTCTTTAAAAGTATATGTCAATTATTAATATTTCAAATTCCCAAACCCACTTTTCCCTTAAACTTCTAAATTCAGCCTTTGAATATTATTATACTATGCATAAATGTAGCAAATATTAGCAACTAATTTTATGGAGAGACTGATTAATATTTGGACTCATTACAAACTTAATTAATCTCCTTAGCTCCATTTTACAAATATGGAAACTGCGATTAAGAGAGATTAGATTACCTGTTTAAAGACCCTAGTTCTGTCTGACTCCTCAGCCTCAAGCTCTTTCCATTAAATCATGTTCTCTCATAATAATGCTGTGCATTTTATTTTACAGGCTCCACTTCTCATGGATCTACTTCCTTCTATATTCTTAAAATCTGTGAAATATTGTACAGATGATGATTAGGAGACAACTTACAGGAAAAGATTACTAGAAGTCTCTTGGTATTTTCCTTTTTTAAAAAAAATTTTTTTATTTGTAGTTAACACACAATACATTTATTTATTTATTTATTTATTGTGCTGAGGATCAAACCCAGGGTGTTGCACGTGCCAGGTGAGCACTCTACCACTGAGCCACAACCCCAGCCCCCTCTCTTGTTATTTTCTTCCTCACAGGGCAACACTGGAGGTGGAACTCTGCCCAGCTGAGAGATACAGGTTCAGAGGCAAGCCTTTCGTTTCATCTTAGGAAATAGCAGTTTCTGAGGAGCTGCTCTCTCTTAGGAATAGATCCCACTTAAAGTGCAGAGACAGTAAGGCCAGTCCTAGCTTAATAAAAATTCATGCAGTGAAAAGATCTCGTCTTCCCTGAAGCTTTCACCTTCCAGTCTGCCTGTCTTTATAGCTTCATAGATGATTAGAAAATAGAGCCCATTTTTTTTTTACTTCAATGCAGATCTTATGAGATCTGACCCGAGAGCTCTGACAGGGAAAGTGCCTGTCTTGTCAACTTGTGAACCATGTTGAGAGTGGGTGGTTGTGTTAACAAGACTGATGACTATATCTCAGCATCTTTAAAACAAGAGAAGCATTGCTGCTATAAGTGGGAAAGGACTAGGTTTGGAGTCAGACAGATCTCAACGTGTGGTTCAAGCTCCACTACTTACTAGATGAGCTACCAAATCATCATCAGCTGTGTCCACATATGTACAAGTTACCTACCTCTCTTGCTTCTCTTTTTGGACTGACAAATATAAAGATGACAGCGTCAACTAGAGACTCAATCAGGCTATGATTGAAACTGTCTACGTGGCTCTCTCTCAATACTATGAATTGCTTAAGGTCAGGGTCCTTGTCAGGATCATCTATGTTCCCCAGACATTCAGAACACAAGCCAGAACTCAATAGATGTTGGTAAATGCTTGTGAAGCAAAGCTGAAACAGGTTTGATCCTTCATCTGACAAACGAGAGGGTTCAGTGTGGTGATGTTTTGGAATTCTGACATCCTGTATTTCTATGGAAACTAATCATGGGTCTATGTTGATATCAATCTCCTTTACATAGAAAGTTAAATTTGCTACATAGCAACTATGATGTTTTTATATGTGTCCTTGAGCTGTTTGTGACTAGAACATGGTCAAAATGATTTTTCACTCTCCACCAGGTTGGATGACACACATAGAATTGTTTCCTATATAATATATTTGGTACCACAGTAATATGATTATCTATAACAAATAGCATTCAACCATTTTATGAAAACACAACTTGTGCACAAATGTTCAAAATCTTGGAAACTATTATGTAACATTTGCTGAATCCTATTATGAAGAGTCCTTTCCCTCAAAGAGTTTGAGAAACATTGGCTTACAAAGGCTTAGCCCAAAGGGTAGGCAGAAAAGTCTCTTAGAATAGGAACTTTAGTAGATCAAGCAACTGTGGAGAGAGAAATCCACACATTTATATGGAGCTCTGGTGAAACCTAATAGAGATGGATTTCTTGTTTATTTCTATTTATTTATTTTTTTGGTGCCAAGGATTGAACTCAGGGGCACTTAACCTATGAGCCACATCCCCAGCCCTATTTTGTATTTTATTTAGAGACAGGATCTCACCGAGTTGCTTAGTGCTTCATTTTTGCTGAGGTTGGTTTTGAACTCTCAATCTCCCTGTCTCAGCCTCTCAAGCTGCTGGGTATTTTTTGGTTTTAATTACTTCTGAGACTCACATTACATCATCAACTCATAGAAATGTCTGAAAAATCTTCCATACAGGATTTTCCTTCCTGCTCTTCAATCCCTGAGCCACTCCTCACTACCAACACAAACCTGGCCCTAAAGTGCTCTCCAGATGCATCAGGATAGTCTGTACTCATATCAAGAGCCCTTTACTTCTATTCTGCTCATTTTTGTGACTATCCCAATAATACCCAGACACAAACACAATTTTTTCAGGCCCATACCAGTACCCATGAGGGAAATTTCTAACCTGACACTGGTTCACATGCCCTAGGCCATGTCACACACAACTTGCCACTCCCCATTTGCAGAAATCTCTACCCATACCCCAGGGTCCTCATCACTTTCAACTTTTTGGTCAGCCATGCTGTGGCTCAGGTCTTCTCTGTCCCACAGGCAGAACAGACACAAATCAAGTTACCTTTGCTTGTATCACAATCCTTTCCATTCCTAGAAGGCAACCTGGAACCTGCCACATTCAGATCAGCATCCTTCCCTATATGTAAGCAGTTATATAATATAATAAAACTTGAAGCTTCACTGATAGGGTCCTTCCAATCTATGAGGATGGTTATATATTTAGCATTGTCTTTACTAGTGATCTTCCCTGCTATTCGTCTCACTAATTCTTCTTAACATAGTGACCTTCTTTAGCTCCAAATCCAACTGCCTGCTACACATCTCTGCTTAAATGTCTTACAGATGTCTTTTATTTGGTAGGAGTGAAACAAATCACCTTCATTAGAACTTTCCTTGTCTTTGCTTCTGTTCATTATGTACCCTGTTGTGCACAGAGTCAATATTCTTCTCCACCCTCTCCAGACTAGTGTCTTTTCCTCAGTCCTCCCCACATGAGCATTTTCTCATCACTTCATTCAAGTTTTTCTACATACCTCTGCTCCAACCCAAGTGTTTTGTCTCTTTTCAATTTAAGCAGGATCCCTATTGTGATCCTAATTCACTTTTATATTTCCAAAATAGACATAAAAAGGCATTTCTTACAGTTACAATTATACCAAGGCTTTTCAAATGTGTATGTGTCCTAGAGTTCCATTACTAGATTGGGAGACATTCTCCTTATGAATGGGATTGCCCGATTTAGCAAATGAAAACATTGGACAAGCAGTTTAAAGTTGACTTCTGATTGCCCGTGCATATCTATAATGAGATAAAAACAAATGTTACTTATACTAAAATTATTTATTGTTTACTTGAAGAAAACTCTACATATGTAAATTGCACACTTTTAAATTATTTTTCTGTAATGATTTAGCTTTGATTAACAGATTTTGGTTTTGAAGAACTTTAAAATGAAATCCTTTGGAGTGACAGTGTATTCCATCTACATTGTGAAATAGCTTCTACAATGACCACATCTAACTTATTTCTTTTTTTTAACTTTTTTCATTGAATATTCTTTAGTGAGGAAAAATGCTAAATATTAGCATTATGAGCCAGTATACTGAACATGTACTGGCATAAAGTTAACAACTTGGAAATTTGTTCTTCAAATTTGATTTTTTGAAGCACATAATACCACCCTTTGCTTGTTTTTCCATTCTTCAGGATTACATTGCATTTTTTAATTCACAATCTTTCAAAAGTGTTGTTCACTGACAACCAAACTCAGTATTACCATTTATTTTTATTTCCTTCCTCATAGCTATGAATGATGATTCCACTTGTTCCTATGCTGGAAATGTATTCAGTAACATCCTCATAAACATATCACACACTTCAAGGGGTGGAATTCATCCAGAAGATAGTCATGGCAAAGCCTGGCACAGTGGCACCTGTTGTAATCCCAGTGACTCAGGAGACTGAGAAGGAGGATTGCAGTTTGAGTCTCAGCAACTTAGTGAGACTCTGTTTCAAAATTAAAAAGAAAAAAAAAGCACTGGGGATGCAGTTGAGTTTTTAAGTGCCCTGAGTTCAGTCCTCAGTACCCACTCCCAAAAAAGATAGTCATAACAAGTGCCATAATAATTATCCACTCCAAACCACATTTCTTTTCTTGTTTATAAGTATCACTGAT